ATTTGTGGATTTTTGAATGATGGCCATTCTCACTGGTGTGAGGTGATACCTCATTGTAGTTTTGATTTGCATTTCTCTGATAATTAGTGATATTGAGCATTTTTCATGTGCCTATTGATCATTTGTATGTCTTCCTTGGAGAATTGCTTGTTTAGGTCTTCTGCCCATTTTTGGATTGGGTTGTTTATTTTTTTCTTATTGAGTCGTATGAGCTGCTTATATATTCTGGAGATCAAGCCTTTGTCAGTTTCATTTGCAAAAATTTTCTCCCATTCGGTACATTGTCTTTTTGTTTTACTTCTGGTTTCCTTTGCTGTGCAGAAGCTTGTAACTTTCATTAGGTTGGAGCCTTTTCTTATACAATTCATTTCCTAAAATTTCATCCCACAGGGCTTTTGAAGTTCAAATGAAGTATTTGGGAAATATCTACCTATTATCTGTCTATGTTCTCCATGTTGGTAACAGTGTAGACAAACATTTCTTTACAAAATATTTACAAAATACCTAGTATCTTCCTTATGTTGTGCTGAGAACTAGGAATAAAGAATGACCACCAAGGACAAAAAGAACAAAGACCCTGAGTCAGGAAAGAACTTGCTTGTTTCTAGAAACAAAGCAGCCCACTGTTCTAGAACTAAAGTATTGAGGGGAGGAGAGAAGGTGTGCACACATGAGTGAGTGGTGGTGGTGTGTGTGTGTGTGTGTGTTTAGAAAACAGAAAGAGAGGCAAATACTGATGACTTGACAAACTCATTTTTATAATTAAGCTGAAAGCCGGCCCAACAGATCTATTAGCAGAGGAGAAGGACAGGCTGATCCCAGCTGCCCTCTGAGGGTCTCTTCCTTTTCTAATAAAGTCACTTGCTAGGTCAAGGAGATTCCATTGTTCCACAGGAAAATGAATGCTCTTTGCTTTCCTGTCCCTGTAAATAGGCTGAACGGGAGCCAGTAAATTAAGGCCAACGGTCCTATTTATTTTGCTACCTATTTTTGTATAGCCAGGGAATTTTAAAACTTTTATATTTTTAATTTAAATTAAAAAATCAATAGAAAACTAACATTCTGTGGCACATGAAAGTTATATAGAATTCAAATTTCAGTGTCCTTTGCACAACAGGATTTTTGTTTCTATGTGTGTGGGTATGTGAGAAAGAGAGAGAAAGTATGTATGTGGCTGATTACAGAGTCATGAGATGAGGTTGGAGATGTTAGGAGGGGTCAAATCATACACTGTAGTGTGAAGATTTTATTTTATTCTCAGTGCATTAGGTACCTAACTGAAGTCTGTGGATGACTTCATCAAGGAGAGGGATTGACCTGATTTTCTTTTTTTAAAGAATCACCCAGGCCAAGGCATCGGTAACAGGTTGTAGAAAAGCATGGTGGAAACAGGAAGTCAGTTCAGACAGCATCACTGTGGCCCAGGAGATGAAAGATGATGGCTTGAAGAACAGTGTGTGTTGGCATGAAACTTATTTGGGAGACAAAATAACAGAAAATGCTGATGAATCACATGTGAGCGAAAGGAAAGGGAGGAAATACTATACTGGAATAAATTCCACCAAAAACAAGAGTTCTTAAACATTCAATCCAAGTGGTCAGTTGTTAGGTTGTTGAGCAGAAGCCTGCTCCCAAAATGAAATTTCAGAAACGCCAGCAGAACAAACCAGGTCAAAAATGCCTAATCATGGTTAGTAACAATTGTTTTCAATTAAGCATAATAAAGACCTTCCTCTGAATTGGTAATAGACTTACTGACATACTCTTTACATTCTAAAGTTATTAGAATCCATTAAGAACCTTTACACAGGCAGAATTATTCTTGTGTGTCCCTATTTTTATGCTGCTCTTGCTGCCACCTTTTGCACTTGGCACCAGAGGTTTCTCAGAACTTGAGTATTCACAGTAGGAAAGTATTAGACTCCCTGGGTCCCTGTGCCAAATTTAAAAAAGCAAAATTTGGATTTACAATGCAACAAGGGGTGGCAAACACAGACTTATGGTTGCTCATTTATAATTTACTTACAGAGGTCACTAGTTAATTTCAATTCGTGAGTGCATGGAAACAAAAATATTTTAACTCATGTAGAACCAAAGAAAGGCATTGTGCAGATATCAAACCTGTAAAAGTCACTCTAACTTTAGATGCTCTCAGTAGTTATTGGGGAGTGTTGAGCAGAATTCTAGTTTTCAATCCCTACAAATCCACTGCTGTGAATTTAGAATTCTGTGTTATCAGTAATACCCATAGTTCATATCATTGGAAGAGAATTATAATTGTAGACTGGGAAATTTCATTTCTTTTTCAGGAAAGTGTAGATAGGCTTGTTTCAAAATGGCCCATTAATAATTCTTTCATCTTGGTCTACTGTGAATGGCTAGGATTACTGTTTTAACACAAGTGTAGGCTATTTTCCTCTAGGATAATTTCCTCTACTTGATCTGATTGTTTTACAGATGAATAATGGTATAGAATACTATTAACTTAATAAATCAATCATTTAGTTGAAACAGGGCCAGTTTCAAAAGTCATATAAAAGAAGTCATTTGAAAAGGTCTATGAGTTCCTGTCACATAGCTACTTAGTTTCACTCAGATTCTGGCACAATTACAATGATGTCATCCCTCTAAAGGTCAAAAAAATTCCATGATTCTGAGAACGGAATGTAGGTAGGTAGATAGATATAGAAAGATACTCTATTTAATGTAATATACTCACAGGTATATAATTTATATAATTCTGATCAGAAATTTTCTTAGGTCCACAATGAAAGTATGAATGAGAATAAAGAGGGGACACAAGTCAATATTTCAATTTTCAAGAAAAAAAATTAGCTATTAATATACAAGTCCTTATTTCTTTCCAAAGATGATTTAAATATAAATCTGGATCCCCAAGTACCTATACACTCATTTGATATTTGCTGGTCCTTACACAGAGCACAGAAAAATGAAAATCCCCAACACCACCAGCAACATCACTGGCTTCATCCTCCTGGGCTTCCCTTGCTCCAGGGAGGGCCAGATCCTCCTCTTTGTGCTCTTCTCTGGTGCCTACCTCCTGACCCTCACGGGCAATGGTTCTATCATCTGTGCTGTGTACTGGGATCAGAGACTCCACACTCCCATGTACATCCTGCTCGCCAACTTCTCCTTCCTGGAGATCTGCTATGTCACCTCCACGTCCCCAACATGTTGGCCAACTTCCTCTCTGACAACAAGATCATCTCCTTCTCTGGATGCTTTCTCCAGTTCTACTTTTTCTTCTCCTTGGGTGCTACAGAAAGCTTTTTCTTAGCTATTATGGCATTTGATCGATACCTTGCCATCTGCTGGCCTCTACATTACCCCACTCTTATGACTAGACAACTCTGCTCCAATCTTGTGGTCAGCTGCTGGGTACTTGGTTTCCTCTGGTTCTTGATTCCCATCATAGTCATCTCCCAAATGTCCTTCTGTGGATCCAGGATTATTGACCACTTCCTGTGTGACCCAAGTCCTCTTCTAGCACTCACTTGCAAAAAAGCTCCTGTGATAGAGCTTGTCTTCTCCATTTTATGTCCTGTGCCCCTCATCATTCTCTGTTCCTTTATCATGGGGTCCTATGCTCTGATTTTAAGAGCTGTATTCAAAGTCCCTTCAGCAGCTGGACAAAGAAAGGCTCTCTCCACCTGTGGGTCTCACCTGGCTGTGGTTTTACTGTTCTATGGCTCAGTTGTTATCATGTATGGAAGCCCAGCCTCTGAGCATGAAGCTGGAATGCAGAAAATTGTGACTCTCTTTTATTCTGTTGTGACCCCACTTCTTAACCCTGTGATATATAGTCTTAGAAACAAAGATATGAAAATGGCCCTGCAGAAATTTCTGAGGCTATGAAAAGTGTTAATCAAAAATGTTCTTGAACAATTAGAGTCCAAAATTGTATTTAACTTATTTACAAACATTTACAAAAATCATATTTAACTCATTTTCAGGTTAAAAATGGTTTTTTCAGATAATTATTAGTATTGACCAAAACGTCAGCCATCTGTGAGCGTGTATCTGTTGTTTATTTCTTTTCATAGTTCTCGACCGCTTGTTCTGTTTCTTTTTTAACCATTTTTTATTGAAGTATAGTTAATTTATAATGTGTTAATTTCAGGTGTGCAGCAAAGTAGTTCAGTTATGTATACATATATTCTTTTTCAGGTTCTTTTCCATTATAGCCTATTACAAGATATTGAATATAGTTCCCTGTGCTACACAGAAGAAACTTGTTTATCTATTTTATATATAGTAGTTATTACCTGCAAATCTTAAACTCGTATTTAATCCTTCCCACCCCTTTCTCCCTGGTAACCGTAAGTTTGTTTTCTATGTCTGTGAGTCTGTTTCTGTTTTGTAAATAAGTTCGTTTGTGTCTTTTGTCTTTTAGATTCCACATATGGGTGATATGGTATTTTTCTTTCTCTTTCTGGCTTACTTCACTTAGAATGACGATCTCCAAGTCCATCCATGTGGCTGCAAATGGCATTATATATTTTTATGGCTAAGCAGTGTTCCATTGTATAAATATATCACAACTCATCTATCTAGTCATCTGTTGATGGACATTTAGGTTGTTTTCATGTCTTGGCTATTGTAAGGCATTGTCTTTTTGCAAGTGCACCTCACATTACAGAATAAAACTGCTTCTAGAAACACTCTGTAAGCTACCATATAGTTAGTCATGCTTAGAGATTATTGATAAGTTCCCCAAAACAAAATAAGTATGATAATAAAACATAATATAAAGTCCAAACTAAAATATTACTTTAAAATTTTAAATAAACACAGATTTTAGTAATAGAAAGCTGGGTTACGTGAACTTACTATCCTGCTAAGAATAAAGAAAAACACTAAACTTAAAAATAAATAAATAGAACTCTTAAAAAATGAATCTGAAGAGATAATGGGATAATGGGAAACTTTTTTTATGAAAGTCTAAGTGGTGAGCACTAAAGTTATTCATGTTCAGAGAGCACTTGCCTACAGTTCACATCCTTATACCTCATGGCAGTGCCTGGCTAGAGAGATATAGATAGGCACTCAGGACTTCCATGAAGTTGGAGCCCTCAGTGGTCTTCATCCTCAAGTAAGTATGAGCCAGAACTAAACCTAACACCACTCAGAAGAAAAACAAAAATGTAGCATCCCTGGAAGTTTGTGGCTATGGTTCAGCTATTGCGTGCATTTACACATAACATTTTCTCCAATCCCCAACATATTGCTTGCAATATATTCTCCTTTTGGTTCAAAGGTATTTAACTTTCTACTAAAGACTCTGCCATCCCCTTCCCTTCATCTCTCATGAATGGACCCACATACATATGCACACATAAACACATATACACATATGCACAATCCCATGGTTCTAACAAAATTTCAAAGTATTTTAATTCTCCAGGATAGACAATATATTAGGCCACAAAACAGTCTCCAAAAATTTTGAAAAACTGAAATCAAACATATATTTCCCAATTATAATGTAATGAAACTAGAAATCAATAGCAGAAGGAAAACTGAAAGTCCACAAATAAGCGGAAAGTAAACAGCACACTCTTAAACAACCAAGGGGTCAAAGAAAAAAATTGCAAGGGAAATTATAAAAAGAAAATTGAAAAAAATGAAAATAAAAACACAACAAATCAAAACTTACAGAATGCAAAGAAAGCAGTGCTAACAGGGAAATTTATAACTGTAAAGCTTTACATTAAAAAAGAAGAAAGATCAACAATGAGGAGAGTGACAAGATATAAAAATAAGTGGAGACTAAATAATACACTTCTAAACAACCATTTGGTCAAAGGAAAAATAAAAAGGAAAAAAACTATCCCAAAACAAATGAAAATGAAAATACAACTTATTAAATATTGTAGGATGCAGTAAAATCAGTTCTGAGAGGAAAGTTTATAGCAATAAAGTCATATATTAAAAATTAGAAAGATCTCAAATAACCTAACTTTACACATCAAGGAACTGGAAAAAGAAGAACAAACTAAGCCCAAAATTAGCAGAAGGAAGGAAATAATAAGAATCAGAGTAGAAATAAATGAAATAGACACCAGAAAAATAATAGAAAGGATCGAATCTAAGAGCTGGTTCTTTGAAAAAATAAAGTTGACAAACTTTTAGGTAGAATAAGAAAAAAGAGAAGAATAAAATAAGAAATAAAAGAAGAGACACTACATTACAACTAATAGTATAGAATAACAAAGGACCATGAGACTACTATGAACAATTATGTACCAACAAATTCCACAACCTAGAAAAATTAATACATTTTAGAAACACACAACCTCCCCAAACAGAATCAGAAAGAAATAGCAAATCAGAACAGACAAATAACAAGTAAAGAGAATGAATCAGTAATCAAAAAACTCCTTACACAGAAAACTCCAGGACCTGATGGCTTCATGGAGAAATCTACCAAAATAAGAATTAATACCAATCCTCCTCAGATTCTTGCAAAATATCAAAGAGGAGGGAATTCTTTTAAACTCAACAAAATACTAGCAAAGAGAATTCAAGCACACATTAAAAGGACTTTATACCATGACCAAGTGGGATTGATCCCTAGGATGCAACAATGATGGTTCAACATACACAAATCAATAAATGTAATACATCACATCATAAAATGAAAAATAAACCACATGATTATCTCAAAAGACACAGAAAAATCTTAAACAAAATACATCATCCTTTCATAATAAAACCCTTAACAAACTGGATTTAGAAGGTACATACCTCAACATAATAAAGATCATATAGAACAAACCCACAGATAACATTTTACTCACTGGAGGAACAGGGCAAAGATGGTCACAGTCCCCAATCTTATTCAATACAGTACTGGAAGTCCTAGCTACAACAACTAGGGAAGACAAGGAGAAAAAAAGCATCCACCATTTGCAGCAATACAGATGGATCTGGAGATTGTCATACTAAGTGAAGTAAGTCAGAAAGAGAGAGAAAAGTACCATATGATATCACTTATATGTGGAATCTAAAAAAAAAAACACAAATTAACTTATTTACAAAACAGAAACAGACACATACATAAAAAACAAACTTGTGGTTACCAGAGAGGAAGGAGGGGGGCACAGATAAACCGGGAGTTTGGGATTTGCAGATACTAACTACTATACATGCATGGATAAACAAGAAGTTCCTACTGTATAGCACAGGGAACTATATTCAATATCCTATAATAGCCTATAATGAAAAAGAATATGAAAAAGTGATATAGATATAGATATATAACTGAATCACTATGCTATACACCAGAAATTAACACAACATTGTAAACTGACTATACTTCAATAAAAAAAAGAAATAAAAGGCATCCAAGTCAGGAAGGAAGAAATAAGATTTTCATTATTTGTTGATGATATAATCCTATACATAGAAAATCCCAAAGAATCAGTCAAAAAAACTATTAGAATTAACCAATAATTTCAGTAAAGTGGCAGGATACAAAATCAACATACAGAAATCAATTTCATTCCTTTACATTAATGATGCAGTATCTGAAAAAGAAATAAAGAAACCCATCCTATTCACAATAGCATTAAAAACAACAAAATACCTAGGAATAAATTTAACCAAGAAGGTGAAAGTTCTGTAGTATGAAAACTATAAAACTTTGCTGAAAGAAATCAAAGAAGACACAAATTAATGGAAAGACATACCATGTCCATGGATCAGAAGAATTAATATTGTTAAAATGCCCATACTACCCAAAGTCATCTACAGATTCAACACAATCCTCATTAAGATATCAAAAACATTCTTCACAGAAAAAGTGAAAACAATCCTAAAATTCATTTGGGAGCACAAAAGATCCTAAACAATCCTGAGAAAAAAGAACAAAGTTAAAGGTATCATGCTTCCAGATTTCAAACTATGCCTCAAAGCTGTTGTAATAAAAAGTGTAATACTAGCATAAAAGATACATTGATCAATGGAACAGAATAGAGAACCTAGAATTAAATAACAGTATATACAGTCAACTATCATTTGATAAGAAAGCCAAGAATACCCAATGAGGAAAGAATAGTCTCTTCAATAAATGATGCTGGGAAAACTGGAGAAACATATAATAAATAATGAAATTGGATCCATACTCACACCACTCACAAAATTAACTCAAAATGTATCAAGTACTTAAACATAGGCCTAATACTATAAAACTTTTAGAAGAAAATGTAGGGAAGAAGCTCATCAGTATTGGTTGTGGCTATAATATTTCTGAGCATGACACCAAAAGCACAAACAAAAGAAAAAATCAAACAAATGGAACTGCATCCAAATGAAAAGCTTCTTCACAGCAAAAGAAGCAATTAACAAAATGAAAAGACAACTTATAGAATGGGAGAAAAATTTTCAAACCATCTATCAGATAAGGGGTTGATATCGAAAATATATAAAGAACACAGTCAACTTGATAACAAAAAACTAATCTGATTAAAAAATGGACAGAACAACTAAACAGACATTTCTCCAAAAAGGATATCAGAATGGCCAACAGGCACATGAAAAGATGCTCAACATCACTAATCATCAGAGAAATGTAAATCAAAACCACAGTGAGATACCACCTCACACCTGTTAGAATGGCCATCATCATGAAGGCAAGAGACAACAGTTGCTGGCGAAGATGGGTGAAAGGGGAAGTCTTACACATTGTTGGTGGGAATGTAAATTGGCCCAACCACTATGGAAAACAATATACAGGTTCCTCAGAAAATTAAAAATAGATCTATCATATTATCCAGCAATTCCACTTCTGGGTATATACTCAAAGGAAATGAAAACAAGATTTCAACAAGATATATGCACTCCTGTGTTTATCACAGCATTATTCACAACAGCCAAAATATAGAAACAATCCAAATGCCCATCAAAGGATGAATGGATGAAAAAGATGTTGTACATATGCACAACAGACTTTCACATTCAGCCATGAGAAAGGGAGATATCCTCAAATTGCAACAACATGGATGAACCTTGAGCACATTATGTCAAGCAAGATAAGTCAGACAGACAAAGACAAATACTGTATGACATTACTTATATGTGGAACCTAAAAAAGTTAAAACCTATTGAAAGAAAAAAAAAACAGTAAAATGGTGGTTACCAGAGGATGGGGAGTGGAAAGGATAAAAGTGATGGTATTTAAGGGTACAAACTTGTAAGAAGTAGCAAGTAAGGCATTAAGATCTAATGTACAGTATAATGATAATAGAAAATATCTTTCTACTGTTGCTATATTAGCAATCATATTACAATATATACATGCATCAAAGTAATATATTGCACACCTTCAACTTATACAATGTTACATGTCAAATTTATTCAATTAAAAAAATCCTGAAAAAATTAAATTTTTAAAATAAAATGAAAATAAGCAGTAGCACAAACAAAAAAGAAGAAAGATCTCAAGTTAAAAACCTAACTTTACACCTTAAAGAACTAGAAGAAAAGAAGAAACTGAACTCAAAGCTAGCAAAATGAAGAAAATCATAAAGATTAGAAGAGTGATAAATAAAATAGTGAATAGAAAATCAACAGAAAAATAAATGAAATCAAGAGTTGGGATTTTGAAAAAAATCAACATAACTGATGAACCTTTAGCTAGACTAAGCAAAAAGAGACAAAACTCAAATAATTCATAAAATGGAGGCTTTAGAGCTGATGTTTCAGAGAGAGTACAATGAACAACTGTCCATTAAAAAAAATGATTACCCTGGATGAAATGGGTAACTCTCTAGAAATACGCAATCTACCAAGATAAATAATGAAGAAATAGAAAATCCAAATAGACCTATAACCAGTAAGGATATTACATCAGTCATCAGAAACCTCCTAAAAAAGAAAAACTCAGATCCAGATGGCGTCACTGATGAACTCTTCCAAACATTTAAAGAATTAACAATAATTCTCAAACTTCTGAAAAAAATTGAAGAGGGAACACTTTCTACTTCATCTTATGAGGCCAACATTACTCTGATATCAAAGCCACACAAAGCTTTATAGCCAGACACTACAAGAAATGATGACTACAAACCAGTATCTTTTGTGAAAAAAGAAAGAAAAATCTTCAAAAATAGCAAATCAAATTCAACAGCATATTAAAAGGCTTATACACCATGACCAAGTGGGATTTATTCCTGCAAGTTTCAACATATGAAATTCAATCAATGTAATACACCACATTGGCAGAATGAAAGAAAAACCATATGATCATCTCAAATGATGCACAAAAGGTATTTGACACAATTCAACACCCTTTGTGACAGAAACACTCAACAAACGAGGGACAGAAGAAAACTACCTCAACATAAGAAAAGTCACATATGAAAAACCCACAGTGAACATCATATTCAATGATTTTTAAAAAAACTGAAAGCTTTTCCTCTGAGATCAGGAACAAGACAAGAGTATGTAGTTTCACCAAATTCTATTTAACATATTATTGAAGATCTAGGCAAAGAAACTAGGCAAGAAAAGGGAATAAAAGTATCCAAATTGGAAAGAAAGAAATAAAATTATCTCTGTTCACAGATGATGTAATCTTATATGTAGAAAACCCTCAAGATCACACACACACACACACACACACATACACAACTATTAGAACTTAAAAACAAATTCAGCAAAGTTACAGGATACAAAATCAACAAACAAAAATAAGTTGCATTTTTATGAACAACCCAAAAAGGAAATTAAGAGAACAATTTAATTTATAATAGCATCAAAAAAGAATACAATACTTAGGAATAAATTTAACCAAAGAGGCAAAAGACTTCTACACTGAAAACTATAAAATGTTGCTGAAAAAAATTAAAGAAACACAAATAAATGGAAAGAGAGATCACATTTGTGAACTGCAAGACTTCATGTTATTAAGATATCAATACTACCCAATGTGACTTACAGAGTCAATGAAATCCCTATCAAATTCCAATGATTTTTTTGCAGAAATAGAAAAAGAAATAGAAAAAAATGCACCCCTCCCCAACCCTTCCCGTTTTGGTCAAATGATTTTTGACAAGGGTGCCAACACCATTCAATGGAAGAAAGACAGTCTTTTCAAGAAATGTTGCTAGGAAACCTGGATATCCAAATGCAAAATAATGAGATTGGATCTTTACCTTATACTATATTCAAAAATTAATTCGAAATAAATCAAAGACATAAACATAAGCCCCAAAACTATAAAACTCTTAGAATAAACATATGGGGAAAGCTACATAACATTGCATTTGGCAATGAGTTTTTGGATATGGCACAAAAAGCACAAGCAGCAAAAGAAAAATAGATAAATTGGACTACATTAGAATTTAAAACATTTGTGCATTAAAGGACACTACCAACAGAATGAAAAGGCAGTGCATGGAATGGTAGAAAATATTTGCAAATTACATATCTAAAAAGGGATAGGTATCCAAAATACACAAAGAACTCCTATAACTCAACAACAACAACAAATTTAAAAATGGGCAAAAGACTTGAATAGAGAAAAGGACTTATTCTACAAAGAAAATAGACAAATGACCAATAAGCAGATGAAAAGATGCTCAACATCACTAATCATTAGAGAAATACAAATCAAAACTACAATGAGATAGATACCATTTCACACTCATTACAATGGCTATTATCA